ATAGACACCTCACACGACAACCTTTGTACAATATTTGCTGCAAATATATAACAGTGGTTGCAACAATGATCTATGCAGTCACAGGTTATGTCAGTAATGTCACAGAGCACCAAACTCAAAAAAAAGGGCACCAAAATTCCAAAAAGAAGGGTAGCCAACATGGCTGCCAAACAACTACTAGACATCATTCAAGATGGCGATTTTAACAAATTTTTGACATTACCATTACCCAGGTAAATAATTCTATGTTTGTGACTGGAGTGAAGGAGGCGAGAGTTGTAGGAAGGGAAAGGAAGGCAAGGGAAGGTCACATTGTATTTTGTAAATTTTCCTGTTGGAAGCAATTAGCAAGATCCTGTGCAGGCAGAAGGAGAGAGGGCTTAAGGAGTGAGGCAAAGGTGGGGAAAAAGGCAGGTGGGATTGCAGGTGTGGGATTCAATTAAGGTGGAAAAATAGAATTCTTTAGATAGGAAGGCAGCAGAACAGAAGGGGGCAAGAATGAATTTGTAGTGGAGGACATCAGCCTGGTGGTGGGATTTATGCCAGAGATGCACTACAATGTGAGAGTAGGAGCAGAGGAAGAAGTCGTAAGGGTTCGCCAGGGTTGGGGGGATCGACAGGATGTATCTTGTGGTGCAAGACAGACGCAAACAGTTAAAGGTGCAGGAAAGTGAAGCATTAAGTTAAAAGTGCCATCTACACAGCTGCCTGGCCATCGGGGACAAAGTGTGTCTCTCTGACCAGAACTTGAAGAGGCTTGTAGTGGTCCCTCACTCTCAAGTGCTGAGGGAGGCCACTCCACTTCACTGCGTCAGGCAGCAGCACTCGGGCCCCACTGGTGGGGCTGAGCAGTAAGCAGTCTGTAGTTCGTACCCTCCCAGAAGAGCCAAACCACCATTAATAGTCTGGAGCTCTAGCTCCCTTAGGCAGGGCAGAGTAGTAAGCAGTCTTTTGCCCAGAGTCTCCCAACTAGGTCAGACAGCAATTAACAGTCTATCAGGGAAGGTCTGGCCCTCTGGGCAGGGCAGAGCAGGGAGTAGTCTTTAGCCTAAGCCTCCAGGCTAAGGCAAACAGCACCGAACCATCTATAGGGGAAGCTCTGGCCCTCTGGGCAGGGCAGAGCAGGAAGCAGGCTTTTGCCTAAGCCTCCTGGTTCTGTGATTCCCTCTGAATTTTCCCACAGAGGGGGGCTCCACCTGTCACCCATGGAGCCCAGTGTCAGAGCCTGAGAAGGAATCGAAGCAGAGGGTCAGAACGGGAGTCAGGGGCCAGCTGCCAGAGCCGAGGGTCAGAGTCAGGTTACCTGGAGTGAGGCAAGGCAGGAGCAGGACTGGAAACAAGCAAGTGCAGGATCTATCACAGCCATGGGAAATTCTTTGAGCAACTGATGTTGCTGCTGGTGTGCTGACTCTTCCAACTAGGTGGCATAGCCCAGTGGCTTGCAACCTTTCTGGACTACTGTACCCCTTTCAGGAGTCTGATCAGTCTTGCGTACCCCCAAGTTCCTCCTCACTTAAAAATTACTTGCTTACAAAATTAGACCTAAAAATACAAAAGTGTCGCAGCACACAATTACTGAACAATTGCTACTTTTAATTTTTACAATATAATTATAAAATAAATCAATTGAAATGTAAATATTGTACTTGCATTTCATATTCTATAGAGCAGTATAAACAAGTCATTGTCTGTATGAAATTTTAGTTTGTACTTCGCTAGTGCTTTTTATGTAGCCTGTTGTAAAACTAGGCAAATATCTAGATGAGTTGATGTACCCCCCTGGAATGCACGCCTGGTTGAGACCCACTGGCATAGCCAATCAGGCAGCCTACTACAGGCTAGCTGTGCTCGTTAGGGGGCCCAGAGACTGGCTCTGTTAATGCAATCCTTGGATCCATAAACAGGGGAATCTCAACCAGGCAGAGAGAGGTTATTTTACTACTGTATTTCGCACTGGTGTAACTGCTGCTAGAATACTGTGCACAATTCAAGAAGGATGTTGATAAATTGGAGAGGGTTCAGAGAAGAGCCAGGAGAATGATTAAAAGAGTAGAAAACACGTCTTATAGTGAGAGACCCAAGGAGCTCAATTTATTTAAGCTTAACAAAGAGAAGGTTAAGGAGTGACTTGATCACCATTTAAAATTACCTACATGGGGAACAAATATTTGATAATGGGCTCTTCAGTCTAGCAGATAAAGGTATAATAAGATCCAATGGCTGGAAGTTGAAGTCAGGGCTGCCGAAAGCAGGTTCGGGCCCCGGTGAAATTTTTTTTTCAGGCATCCCCAGGCAAGGGCGGACTGGCTAAATCAGGGCTGACGGGGGCTGACGGGGAAGCCGGGGAAGCCAGGCCCGGAATTTTTTCGGGCACCCCAGCAAGGGTGGACTGGCTAAACAGAGCCGACGAGGGGCGGGGGAGGGGGGAAGCCAGGCCCCCTTCCGGACCGCCGGGCCCCGGTAATTTGTACCGGCTTCCCCCCCCTCTCGTCGGCCCTGGTTGCAGTTAGACAAATTCAGACTGGAAATAAAGGTGTACATTTGTAACAGTGAGGGTAATTAACCATTGGAAGAAATTACCATGGGTCATGGTAATTTTCCATTACTGGCAATTTAAAAATCAAGCTTGGATGTTTGTCTAAAAGACATGCTCTAGGAATTAATTATTGGAGAAATTCTATGGCTTGTGTCATATAGAAGGTCAGACTAGATGATCATAATGGTCCCTTCTGCCTTTGGAATCAATGAATTTCTGTGAGAAATAATCCTTAATGGGACAATGTCAGCTTGAAATGTAATTTTAAAAAAAGATTTAAAGATAGTTTCAGTAACTAAAGCCTTGTACACACAATGCTACTTTTTGTGGCAAAATTCTTCTGTTTTGCTGACAAAATAAAACCACTTCCCTGAGCTGCATAGAGGTTTTTGCGGCAAAGTTAAAGTGACAAAGCGTCAGTGTAGATGCTGCCGTTTGTTATATCACCGTAACTGGCCTCCCCCAATATCCCATAATGACCGCTGTGACCATTCTGCTCACTGTTTTGAACTCTGCTGCTCTGCAGGAATGCGCCCCTCCCCTTTCAAAGCTCCAGGAAGTTTTGACATTAATTTCCTCAGCCTGGAGAGCTCATATGCTGAGCATGCCGCTCCCGGCAGGAAAACAGCAACCTGCTCTTCTGCCTGGACTACAGGGGAGGGATGGATCATTGCTCTGGGGGCTGAGGGATGTGGGAAAATTCAGAGGGAATCACAGAACCATTAACGTGGAATCCTGCTCTCCCTGGCACTAGGAACACAGTGGCAGGCAGAGAAGGCTGCTGCTGCCAGTGGGAGAGACTGCTATGCTGTGCCGAGCCAGGGAGGGAGGCGGGGCCTGATGTGGGGGCAGGGGTGTGTCCCCTTCCCCCTGCTTCAGGATTAGTTGGTTCTGGCTGCTGTCTGAACTTAAAAAGACAGCATGCCGACACCCTCACTCTCCCACAACTTGCCCGCTCCGCCACACGCGCTCTCTCGCATACTCCCCCTACACCACACACTCTGTCTCTGTCTCTCCCACACACACACACACACACACACACACACTCTCTCTCTCTCTCCTCCAACACCACTTCAGTTGAAAAGTGGCTGGCAATCTAGTAGGATGGCCATGGAACAATGGGATTGAGAAACCTGCATCATGTGATGCTGTGCCTGCCCCATGAGGCACTGCAAACCCTCCCCAAAGCACCCTGCAGCCAGTTGCACAGTGGGATAGCTACCCACAGTGAACTGCTCTCTGTGCTGATGCAAGAGCTGCTTGTGTGAATGCACTCTGCTGACACTAAGAGCATAGTGTAGACATATTCATATATGAAGATATACCTATCTCATAGAGCTGGAAGGGACCCTGAAAGGTCATCGAGTCCAGCCCCCTGCCTTCACTAGCAGGACCAAGTACTGATTTTGCCCCAGATCCCTAAGTGGCCCCCTCAAGGATTGAACTCACAACCCTGGATTTAGCAGGCCAATGCTCAAGCCACTGAGCTATCCCTCCCCCCCACGGTTTAATTAAATTAAATTAAATTAAATTACAGCAGTTTAATTAAAGCAGTTGCTGTATGTCGGCATAACTTTTGTCGACAAAACTCTGTAGTGTAGACAAGGCCTAAATCTGCCCCAAGTTTCGTGATTTTACAATCACATTTCCTATTTTTCAAAAGAGTCTCTCTCTCTCTCTCCCCTTGTGTAAAAGACCCACACAAACTAGGGAATTTGACTATGTGCAAAATGCTGTTAAACAAACTGAAAAGAAAGCCAGAAAAATATACTTTTTAAAATGACTTTCAGTGATTAATCATCATTAGGTGTTTATTGTAACAACTGTACAGTAGATAAAAAGTTTTCAAACTAAAGTGAGATTTCTAGCATTATATTGTCTCTGTGAATAAGCAGATAACCATTTTCTGCGTTTGCAGTATTTTCCACATTGTCTTAAAATGCAGCTTCATTTAAAACACATTGCAGTATTCCAACCACAAGGTGCCAAAGACACAGGTAAAAGTAACAGGTTTCAGATTAGCAGCTGTGTTAGTCTGTATCCGCAAAAAGAACATGAGTACTTGTGGCACCTTAGAGACTAACAAATTTATGCTCAAATAAATTTGTTAGTCTCTAAGGTGCCACAAGTACTCCTGTTCTTTTTACAGGTAAAAGTAGCAATATCTGTGTTGGAAAGAAAAGGCTGCTACCTGGACATCCAGAAGCAGTTGGGCAGCTAATGATTCACAGATTGCTGACATGAGAGAGGCATATGCCCCTAAATCATTATCACAGATATGCAGCTTCTTCTGGCTGCATTTTGATGAGAAACTCAACTGAATGAATTATCTAACTACCTAAGTGAAAACCTTGAAATGTTTATTCGCTTTTTATTATTCAGCTTCTTATACCTCTTGACATCAGTGTATTGAAGTATTTCCTTGCTGATGTAATTCCTTTATTACATTACAGTTTTTTTATATAGTGCTACTGGTCCAAAGAAGTGGATAAGGTTTATAGAAGAAATCAAGTTTATATTAAACACATTATAAAAGCATTAGCACTGCAAAATGGTTAATTTCAATTAAAAATTATTTAACATAGAAGCTAGATATTGAGTTTTAAACAGTGAATTACAGTATATGTTTACTCTTAGTAAAAGACTATATTTAAATTTAAAATTACTCTGTCCTTATTGATGACAATATAAGAAAAGACCCCAAATTTCCATGTCTTTGGTTAATTTCCTGGATATTAAAACTACCTAATAATTATACAGATATAAAATCAAATTATCCTCTGTTAATGCAGTGAACTCCTGTAATTTGTCATATAATTGCAAAATGAGTAAAGTAGTTAACTCTTATAGAAGTCTTCTGTGATTAAATACTTGGAGGAAAGTTGGTGCTGATTAAGTCGATACCCAACAACTTCTTAGTGGCAGAGTCCCAATCCTTCCCAAGTTCAAGTCGATGGCAGATGGCTGGAAATTGTCTGTCAATTCTTCTTACCCATTCCACTGCCTTCTTTACTGAAGCAAAAGCCCAGTGAATAGCACTGTATATAGAAATAAAGTGTGATTATACTGAAATATGAGAACAGTGACTTAACTGAGCAGTTACTGCAGCTGTCTACAAACTAAGTACAATCAAATGCACCAAAGGATACAAGAAGAAAATCTTGCCCTTGCCACCGAAGTCACTTGGTGGAGAAAATATCAACAATGCTTCAACCCAATCATTAACAAAAGATCTCTTTATATATATATATATGATAATTTGAGGCAGAGATTTCAAGAAAAAACAAAGTCTAGCCTGAGCAGCTTTCTTGGTCTTTTCAGAAAGCATTGTCATGGAGAAAGAGATGTAGGGTCAAATTCACCACAAATGTTTGGGCTTGTCTACATGGGGAAGTTAGTGTGGAATAAGTTAGGGAGTGATTTTAAAGTGCACTGTCTACTTCGCACAAACTCCCTGCGTGGACACTCTTAATTCGCACTGAGTGCCTTTATGAACTTTAGCTTAATACACTTCCAAAGTGTAATAGTGCAATGTAGTTAATGTGCACTAGCTACTCCAGTGACATAGGTGGCGTGAAATTAGTCCATAAAAAGCATCTCATCAAGGCAGTAATATCAGATTTGACTCTCACTTTTTGGGTCCTCAATGTGTTCACATATATGCAGAGTTCCTCCCATTTTCCTTTTCTCCCTACTATGTTTTAACCCAACATCACATTTTATTATTATGTACTACATTCCTGATTGAGGTTACAGGACAAAACCAATTTAAGCATCTCTCTAGTTTGTTTAGGTTTTTATACCATACTCATCATGTAGTAGGTGTGTGCCTTCCAGTAGCGCATTAAGCAACATGACACATCTATCATGTGTTATTTGTAACTTGTCACAGGAACCCTAGGTATATAGAGCCAGATAACATCTCCCACAGAAACACCTGAGGCAGGGAGACTACAGAGGAAGATTTCACAAGGTTTTCCTTGCTGCAAGTTCCTATAATTTTTGGGGGTGGGTGGAAGGAGCAGGAAGGTGGGGTATAATCCCCCACACTACATGCAGGGGTTAAACTCCCAGAATTCACATACCATGGGGAATCTGCTAGAGGCCGGAGCCATCTCTATGGTGTTCCTGTTCCTTCATGCGCTCCTAGATCTCTGCTGCGCTCCCCCTTCCCTTTTGGTGGAGTGATGCTGACAGGCTCCCCAGCTGTCTGGTGTTCATTGTACCTCCCCAGTAAAGGGAAGTTCCATGATGCAGAGATCGTCCATGCAAAACGTAATACAGCATGCAGCTATATTATATTGCAGAGGGTTCTCATCTGGGGACCATCTGCATTGCCCAGGCCACTTGGAGGGTTAATGGACAGAGTGGGGATTGTGGTGTGGATGATGTTGATATCAGGGGTGGATGGTCTGGTCCAGATGATCTGTGCCATACATCTAAGAGCCTCATCAAGCCCTAAAATTAATACTGTTCCCATTTACTATATAAATAAAAATTTTTTGCTGATGCAGGACATTGTTTATGTATTTCTTAATTTTATAGACCACATTTTGAAAACAAAGATTTTGTTGTAAGAAGCAATGCATCGACACTGTCAGTTATACTTTTCATTAACAGTCATATGCTGTAGTATATTAGTTACCAATACCCAATAACTATTCATTTCACACATGTTAAAATGTTCAGCAGTTTACATTCATACATTAAATATTTAATGTATGCATGAATCTAAAGCACACCTTGAAGTGGGCGAATCATCCAGTTTCATTAGAGATTTGAAGGTTATCCCTTCCAGTTGCTGATTATAACGTATGAACTGCAGCACCAAAAGTGTAGCAATCAACTGCAATACTTCTCTTCCTTTAGGACCTAAAAAAAGAGGGAAAAGGGTGTGATTCCTAGTATAATTGTTACTTGTTAACATTAATATTAATATTAATACTTGTCAACAAAGTTAATATTTGATATTTTGTAGTACTTACTGTCAAAGTAATAGTCATGCTCACAAAATCTAGTTATCCTAATGCTGTTTAATTTTGTTTCATTACCCAATATACACAATAATCCATGCTTTTTTAAAAACAGTTTCAGAGACATATAGTTCGCTGCGTTGGAGTCAGAACTCAAGGGCTGGCAGTGTGCTGCTGGGTTTTTGTGGTTTGGGGTTGCTTCCATCATGTTCCACTTAGGTCTTTGTGCAAGCAGCAAGGGGAAACTTGTACAATTTCTGATCTCTGATGAAGCACTGGAGCAGCAGCTTTGGTAAGACAGTGATTAAAGTGCACATCTCAACCCAATTTTTATTTTTGCCCAGTTTGCACTCCCCATGCACACTTTAAGCACTGTCCCCTAGTGATTCAGAGAGGACAAACTTTGTTCATGTTAATTTTCTCCCTGGCAACAGCACAGAGCAATAGCTGAAAAGGAAGAAGGAAATGTGTACATGAAAGATGTAAACAACATAATGGGAAGGGGTGGGAAGAAGCAGTACATCAGTGTAGTTTGGAATGTATGTGTGAACAAAAAGACAATCCCTGCCCCAAAGAGCTTACAATCTAAACAGACAACACAAACACGTGATGTGGAGGGAAGGGTATACACACAGAGTGAACAATATGATGGCAGCAAATGTCCTTCTTCTTCAACACTTAGCCAGACAGTTGGCCGTAGCGATCATTCGCCATTTGGTCCGTTCCTGCACAACCGCAAAGGATTGACAGCCTGAGAGTCCAACATCGGAACAGACTTGATGAACCCATGTAATAGGAGGTCTGCCTCTGGGCCGCCTCCACACCTCGGTTGGTGCAATTTTATCCCGGATGTTACAAGCCACCCGGAGAATGGCGTTCGCTGGAATGTCTTGTGGAATCCTTGTGACATGTCTGAAAAGCATAAGGTGCCGCGTGCGGGCAATGGCACCAGTAGTCTGTAGACCAGAACAACCATAAACATCTGCATTACAGATGAAGTCATTCCACTTTATGCCCAGTATATAATGTTGACATTTTGTGTGGAAAGCATCCAGCTGGTCCCTGTTCACTTCTACCCTCAACCAATCTGCTGAGCAGACGATTGGCTACAGGCATCCAAATGCCATGCTAGTTCCATTTTTATGGAGGGGAGAGGTAGCAGGTCAGCTAAATGGAAAGTGAAGGGAAGAGGGTGAGGGAGACAGGGCAGGGTAAAAGAGGGTATAAGGGGCAACAAGTTTGGGGTAAAGCTAAGGTGAAGAGACTGAGGGAGAGGAAGGGAGTTTTGAAGCAAAAAGCCATTCAGCACAGGGCAGAGAAAGTCTAGTCAAAACCACAGAAAGTTCTCCGAGGTCCCTGCTTTGTATGCCTGTCACTAGTGGCTGGAGACTCTGGCTGGCTCCTCTTTGCTGTTTATTTCCAAGCCCACATGAGGGGGAGAGTGAGAAGGGGCACTACCTAGGTCCTACTGCCCCCAGAATATAGGGAGGACTCCCCTGCATAGTTTTGGGTCCAGCAGGGTGCTGGGGGAGGGATGGCCTCAGCTGGGTACCATTTTGCCTTCCTCTCCATTATGTAGAAGCGACCCCACCTTTCTGAGGATGAAAGTGGGAACATTTGAGTCTGATTTTTTTTTTCTAATACAATTAAACATTTCAGAGTTGCTTAATCTAGCATGTATAATAACCAGGACAAAAAGAACCTCCACTGCTGCCCAAATATGCTGCCTCCATAGGACAGGCACACAGCAGCCAGGACACTGAAAGAACGCTCTAGCAGAAACTTGAATTTTTAAAAATTAGTAACGTCAGAAAACTTCAAATTGATAGTGTCTATTTAAAATCCAGGGTGAGCCAATCTTAAACCATTGTTAGGAATATGGAAAATATACATTAATATAAGCTCTACTGCACACACATGGTTATTACATTTAAAAAAACAAAAACAAACCATTAACTGTAATACCGTCCAGCTACTTTTAATGAATGAGAAAACAACTGATTTACCTAGGGACCAAATGCCTTTTTTTGCAAGGAATATATTGGTTAAATAATCCACATCAAGATCCAAAATAACCCCAAGTTCTGGGCTGAGATTCCAAAAGCCATCCTGTGAAATAAACCAAACAAAAAAACAGACAAAGGTCATTCAAGACATTGCAAAATTCACATTAGAAATATCAAAGTACAGCTAGGAAAGTAATTACAATAAAATGTTCAAATGACTTATGCAAAAAATATAATAAACTTTCGTGAATTAGTCAGTGATCCACAAACTTTAAGATCTAAAATTCAAAAGCATGATGTATCGACATCATAATTTTAATCAGTGTAGCTAAAATGGATTCTTACTGTGAGCCTATTCCTTAACCAATCCACATACTACCTGGCCGCAGCCAGCATACCAACAGTGACATATGTACCACAGTTGGAGAACCTCTGGAATAAATTATCTGACCAATCCTACATCAATGGAGTACTAAAAACAAACCAATAAGATGAATGCAAATCATTAGCTTCTTTCCATTATTTATCCCACGTACAGTAATGTGTTATTTGCAATGACATGTGTGGGTTAGAATAATGAGTGTGGCGCTCTGACTGGGAAGTGAACCTCTTGTGGGATGGGGAGGTTGAGACAGGGGCGCAAAGCACAAGAGGTGGGAACATTGAGTTTCAGAGGGAAGTGGGGCAGCAGTGGTGGCATCAGCAGCAAGTTCTTTATTTTCAGATACTCAATTAGATACAAACCAAACAAACAAACTATTAACTTGCAAAAAGTTTTAAAATAAATAAATAATTTGAAAATTACCCTAAAAATAATGCTCAAAGTAGAGTACTTCCCCAACTGAATTCAGCAGAAAAGGATCCACTCCACTGAGAAAACAACAGCCTCCATGAAATTAGTAAATGTGCTATTTGTATTGTGAAATACAATGTTAAGTTTATTAAATCCCATTCCATTTTATTTGACACGAGATTGGAAATTCTGATAAGTAGGAAAGAGACACATACTAGACAGTTTGCTACTCTCAAAACAGGCGGAACACAAAGCTTTGTACTTTCACATTCAAATCAAAATGTGTCCCAGTTGGTAAGTATAATGATCTCGAAATCAAATCTGATTTTGCATAATTTTAAAAATATTGATTCTCTAATGTTAAATATTCAGTAGGCTAAATGTTTAGTCTGGCCTGAACTGGAACTGCATTTTTGTTCTTGCAGCTTTACAAGAACAAAAAACTGCAAGTGCAATTTTATGTCCATAGTTACTTGTGGACACAATTAAGGTAATTTAGATGACTAAATATCTGATTTAAAGGCATAATCAGGTAAACACAAAGTAACATTAAAATGGAGGCAAGGTGCTGGAAAATCTGTCCCATTAAACTTAATTACAGTAGTAAATTACATTGTGCTAGAAACTTTTTTTCTTTAATGAATACTCAGGTTTGGCAATCCTGCAGGAATTCTATATATATAAAAAATGTTGTAACTCACTGGATTTGACCCCAAAGTGAAGAACAACTGCTATAGACAATACTGCTGAAGGCTGTTACAATGACCAGAGGAGATAGCCAACAGGAGCAGCAAATGAGAGTTTTATGAGGGAGTTTAAAGAGGGAACATGAAGCCAGATATACCCAAGAAACATTCTCTAAACTTAGGCCAATAATCACTGCTCCCCTCTCCCTGCCCCCAAAAACCCTACAAGTGTAAAGAGAATGCAGCCGGAAGTCCAGCATCAAAGTGGGGGCTATCCAGTTTATTGCACTGAATGTAGCATGTATGATTACCTGCCTTGTGGGCAGGTGGCATGTGTGTGCATTCAGTGCAAGCAGCTCACAGCTCTCAGAGATCAAGTACAGGCTCTTGAGACCAGAGTGAATGAACCAGATGAGCTAAGAGAGAGAGAGATGTACGTAGCGGAGATTTTCCAGGATACAGTAGAACAGTCCCTCTCCCAGTATGACAGCCTCTGTGCTATTGAGGAGGTTGAAAGACTAGGGGAAGGAAAACATCAAACTGGGGTAGAGGGAAATAATCCCATAGTTAGGATTCTCCTTTCAGATGATATCATGGTATCCTCTTGCACCGAGGATGCCTGTCCAGGGGAGGGGACCCCAGTTATTAGGAAGAGACAGTGTGACAGAATGTACCCGTGTCCACACAATTGTAATATTTTTTTGTACAAAGCATGTCTTGTAAGGTATCATTTGAAAATTCATAATTTGCTAGTAAATATTGTCCTGATGAAATATGTGTGGCAACATTGTATGTTAAGTTATAAGATTTCCCTGTATGATGTTATTAACACATGTTCCAAACCACAGCCCTACCCAAGCAGAAGTTGGTGAACAGGTCTATCTCAAACAAAGGAATGTGTGCTGTGCTTAATTCGAATTTAAGCAGAAAACAGAGTCATCAAGCATGAAGGGAAACAAAGAAAGCTGAAACTGGTGAGGAAAAAGCAGCAGGAAACATCCTTCCCCACAGACTTTTTGTCTCTTGGTACCCAGCTGGAAATGTTTTTTAAGAGGGGAACTGAAACTATAAAAAAAAAAAGGGACACATCCCACAACACCTCCTCTCCCCGCCTATCGCACTAATGCAACCTGAAGCGACAAAGAAAGCATTCATTGGACTCTGGGAGAAGGGGTCCTGACTTAAAAAGTCTGGTCAGTAAGACTGCTGAAAGCTTGTGGTGAGAAAACTTTGCTTTGAATTTAACATAGTTAAGATATTCACCAGTTGAGTTTTATCTTTATTTTTCTTATAACCATGTCGGACTTTTATGCCTCATTACTTGTACTCACTTAAAATCTTTCTCCTTGCAGTTAATAAACTTGGGTTTTTTTTGTTTTATCTAATCCAGTGTGTTTAAATTGAAATGTATGGGAAACTCCATTTGGGGTGGCAAGTTGTATGCATACTATTTCTATTAAAGAAATAACAGACTTTATATAACTTCTATTGTCCAGGAGAGGGCTGGGCAGTAAAGGACATACATTTCTGGGGGGAAAACTAAGACTGGGGGTATGTTGGAGTCACGCTGCAGTATAACCAAGGCTGGTGAGAGCTGGAGTGTAACCCAAATCTGGTTGGCAGGCCGCAGTTACACACAAAAACTCAGGGTATGGCTTGCATGCTATTTGTGAGCAACCCAGGTGGGAACTCCTTCAGCAAGGCATCGTAAGGCATCCAAGATTGCAGGGCAACGGTGGCATAGCTACTCTTTACTCTAGATCAGTGGTCTCCAACCTTTTTATGCACAAGATTGCTTTTTGAATTTAAGGGCAACCCAGGATCTATCTCGCTCCTTCCCCGAGGCCCCAGCCCTTCCCAAAGCCCCGCCCTGCTCACTCCATCTCCCCCTCTCTCCGTCACTCGCTCTCCCCCACCCTCACTCATTTTCACCGGGCTGGAGCAGGGGGTTGGGGTTCGGGAGGGGGAGCAGGCTCTGGGCTGGGACCAAGGGGTTTGCAGTGTGGAAAGGGGGCTCCAGGCTGAGCCTGGAGCAGGGGATTGGGATGCAGGAGGGGGTGAGGGGTACAAGCTCTGGGAGAGAGTTTGTGTGCAAGAGGGGGCTCCAGACTGGGGCAGAGTGTTGGGGTGCAGGAGGGGGTGCGGGTGCAGGCTCTGGGAGGGGGCTCAGGGCGGGGGCAGAGGCTTGGGGTACAGGAGGGGGTATGGATACATGGCTCTGGGAGGAGGGTTGGGGTGTGGTCTCCCGGCAGGGGGGGTTCACTTACCTCAGGCAGCTCCCGGTTGGCGACGCAGCAGGGCTAAGGCAGGCTCCCTCCCTGTTCCGGCCCCATGCTGATCCCGGAAGGGGCCAATGTGCCCCTGCAGCCCCTGGGAGGGGCACGTGGGTACGCACACTGCTCCTGTCTGCAGGCACTGCCCCTGCAGCTCCCATTGGCCACCGTTCCACATTCCTGGCCAATGGGAGCTGCAGGGGCGGTGCCTGCAGACAGGGGCAGCGCACAGAGACCCCTGCCCACCGTCCCCTTCCCCGGGGCTGCGGGGGTGTGCTGGCCCCTTCTGGGAGCAGTGTGGGGCCGGGGCAGGCAGAGAGCCTGCCTTAGCAGCAGCCCCGCTAAACCACCAGACTTTTAGCGGCCAGAGATTGTGATTGACTGGGAAAGTCTCCAGGATCAACCAATCGCGATGAGGAAATTACTCACTTTGTGCAGTAACAATGGTTCTTTGAGATGTCTGTCCCTAAGGGTGCTCCACTGAAGGTGTATGTGTGCCCCTGAGCCTCTAATTGGAGATTTTTGGTAGCAGTATCCGTTGAGACCGCATACATGCTCTCCCTCCCTCATGGTCTGCCTCGAGGCTATCTAGCGCTGCACGGGCGAAGTCCCCTCACTTCCCTCTCCACCCCAGAGCCCTATAGAGAACTCCAAAGTAGAGGGGAGGAGGGCTGGTTGTGCAGCACCCATAGGGACAGACATCTCAAAGAACCATCAATACTGTACAAAGTGAGTAACTTCCTCTTCTTCGAGTAGTGTTCCTATGGGTGTTCCACTATATGTGACTCCCGAGCAGTACCCACCACTGGAATATGAGATTTCAGAATGGAGTCTGTCACTACAGAGTGTACTGTGGAGTCAAAGATGGCATTGGGGGCCAAATCTTAAGTGATCGCATAATGTTCTGCAAAAGTATGGGCAGAGGTCCAAGTCATTGCTCTACAGATTTCTGAGATAGGGATATCTTTAAGTAATGTGACCGAGGTAGAAATTTACCTCGTGGAGTGCGCATGGACTCTGGATGGAAGCAGGTTGCGTCCTTGATAACAGTGATTAATGCAACCAGAGACCCATTTGGATAGTTTTTGAGCCAATATCACAAAGATTTTGGATCTTTCTGTGGACGAAAGGAAGAATTTAGGGGATTTCCTAAAGTCCTTAGTCCTGTCCAAGCACAATGCTAGTGTCCTTATGCAGAATCATCTCCCTGTTGTCACAATACAGTTTTGGGAAAAAACAGGGAGATGAATCTGTTGATTCATATGGAAAGTGCAGAGAAAGTAGGGAGAAACTTGGGATATGGCCTTAGGGTTACTTTGTCTTTAAAAAAGGCCGTGAATGGTGGGTGTGC